TAGGGGGATCTGCATCTGGCTTCGCTGGCCTTCGTCGGAGGGGCTTCTGCCCGTCGGGGCCGCCGTTTCCTGTTACCTCCCACCTCGACGCCGCGCGGCGCCATAGTTCAATCCTTCATTCATCCAGTAGGCCAGCCAAGATATCCGCGCCAGCCCCCCAGGAAGCGCCGAGGCAAACTTTAGCGCGGCACTCAGCGCTGCCAGTGTGCTTGTTCGTCTTCTACTGAGGGCGGAGGCATCAGGTCGGGTTGGAGGGGGGCGTTGAGGGGGGGGGGAGGGGGGGGGGGGGGGGGGCGGGCGCGGGGAGAAATCGAGCGAGGTGGGGGTCTCCTGCGCCGCGCCAGCCTCAGTTGCCTTACGCTGGCGCTCGCCAGCGCCGCAATCAAACGCCGCCACCGATGCGTAAGACAGCGCGTGAAGGGCCGAGTTCCAGGAGACCCCGTCAGCGCGCAGACGGGTGGGCGACGACATTGCAGCGCGCATTGCAACCGCCTTGTGCTGCGACTGTTGTTCCACATGGCCGCCGCCATCAAGGATGAGCTAGTCCGCGCGATGTTCGACCTGAAGGCGCCCCCCCACAATGTTGCTACAAACCTCGTTTACGACATGAACGCCACTATTGCCAACGTCGGCGTCCCAATCAACAACATGGAGATCGCGAGCTATTGCAACCTGTCGCTGCCCAGCTGACGGGAGACCACGCGATCGTCAGAAAGCGTGCGTCGGCTTTGAGATATCGTGGCAATGCTTACCAACGCTCATCATAGCGCGTGGTTCTCCGCCGTCAGGGAAACTGTTTGCGCGGCGCCGCGACTTGGATCGCGGCTTGGAGTACCACCAGCAGGTTTTACTTTCAACTCGCAAATGTCCGAGGTCACGAAGGTTTACCACGACAGGGCTCCGGACGGCGACGTCATCGCACGCGTGCCGCCCAGGCCTCAGATGCTCCAGGATTGGATTGGAGCGGCGACACGAAGCGAACCTCGACATCCTTCGATCGCGACCTGAAAGCAGCAGCCGCGGTAAAGTGATGCAGCGGCATCGGCAGGAGCATAGAGACAATGCGAGGCCACCTGGTGCGAGCCACGGTCTCGAGGGGGCTACTGATACACGCGAACAAATCCCATGTCCGGATCTACGCCACTCCCCCCGGCGGCAAGCGGATCGCCAGACAGATGTGCGCCAGCGGCTAGACTTACACTGGCCTTGGCGGGACTATAACGATCAATCGGTCTGCGAAGCGGTTGGCCGCGATGAGAAACGACCGCGATGACTTCGCCTAGGAAATCGACGCCCGAGTCCTCTCGCTCAAAGAAGCCACCGCGCCGCGCGCGGAAGTCAGCCGTCAAGCGCCGCGCCGGAAGCACAATCGCGAAGCCGCACTACCTCAATTCATTCGGCTTCTCGGCTACTTTTACATGAGGGTGCTTGGGCGGCGGAAAGCGAGACGGCCATGGGCATGGCGACAGCTGCCAGCGCCGCCGCTATCATTTGGAACGCGAGACCACCTTCCTACCTTCTGTCAGGCACCGCCTACAACGCGCAATCAATGGTGAATTTACACGATTATTGGTTCAAAGCCCACCTGAACTACAAGCCATGCTGGACCGCGACATCAACGCGGAGGGGATGCCGAGCGCCATTTTCATTGGCGACGTAGCCGGCATGCGCGAGCAAACACCGACCCGAAGCGCAAGCCACCAGACCTGCACGAAATACATGTGGATCGGGCTGGCACGACACGAACCGACAATCTCCAGGAGTACCACAACATAAGTATGTAAGAAAGCGCTCGAGGTGACCGCGGCAGAGGCACAACGGCCAAATTGGAGGCGACGGCCGAGTAATGCATGCGACGGCACCGACCTACAAGTGCCCCACGAGAGAAGGCACCCCTCACGGATAAGAATCAGCAGCGCGCGCGCTACGAATCTTGAGCAGTACTCGACAGAAAAGCAGCGCGCCGGAGGCGCGTGGACGCAGTCCGCCGACCATCGATAGAACGCGACGCAGGAACGTCATGTCAGATGTGTTTGACCGGGCGCTGGGCGCCGAATCGACTACTGGAACATCTGAAGGCTCATTCGCGATGTGGCACTTCCTTTCCCGAGCGCGGCGGAGGTCCAACTTCCGAGGGGCTTTGCGTTGACATCCAAGAAGTTCGGCGAGTACGCAGGCTGACACTTCAAAAGGGCTTCTTGAAGACTACGCCGCGCAGCCATGCATTAAACTTCGCGGGCCTGCGAGAGGACCGCAACCAGCAGGACTCGACATTGCGTCGCGATGATACCGATCGTTATGCTAAGAGATAGTACCATTGCACAAGGAGCGGAGGGCGGACGAGACAACGCCCACAGAGGCCAAGAAGATCTTCGCCATCGCAGTGGAAGCGAAGGCGTAGAACATGACGAGCGTGATTCGGACCATGGAGAAACACCGCGTACAAGCGGCATCCTCTTATTCACCGACGGCCACCCACCCTTCGAACGAGACTTGCAGATATACATCGCATCCAAGCTGGAAGAATCATGCCACGCCGCATGCATTCTGGCGAGATCAACAAACAGCGGCAGCAGTTTGGACAACAACTCCGCGATACTTACCAAACTCGACAACGGGTGGTGGATGCAAGCGACCAAGGATGGCGAAGTGGGAGCCATAAGAATTGGAGACAACACTCGAACAATTACCATGGTCTCAAAGTTCGACCAACAGCTACCATGGTCCAACAGTTACCATGTTCCAACAGTTCCCATGAAACCGGCACGCGCGCGATCAACAGTTACCATGGTCCAACAGTTCGACCCGCCAGCGGGCGAGAGGAAAGGTCAACCGCGAGAGCGAGAACCTATACGATACCATCGCGATTGCCTACGTTTTTTTTTTGCGTGCCCAGTAACATGCCGCTTCTATTGGGCGACCGAGATCTACGACGTTTACGCATCCATGAGCTGGAGCACTCGATCAACGCGAAGTGATTGACGCGCACGACGGAAGCTGTAACGAGTTTACCCAAGTCTACGGACGGGACCTTTCGGAGCCAGGCAGAGGATATTTTGGCGGCAGTTCATGACTGGCAGACCAAACAACGAAGCTGACAATCAACAACACATGATGATATTCGGCCTGGACATGTACCTTCACTGCGAGTGGAGCACCGACTAGAGGGTGGCCAACTTCGGCCCTAGCGAGGTCGAGCCGCCCTGCAGCACTGCGCTTGGCATCGACAACGAGCAGCACCACAGGACAGCGATACCCGAAGACTTGCCACCACAACGCCCCGCGCCGAAGGGTGGCGGCAGTGCCCTTTTCCTCCACAGCGCCGCTGGCGCCGAAGGGTGGAGGTCAGGGATGACCGCGCGTTGCGAAGCACGAGCGCATCGGGGGCGGCCGCCACGCGTAGCGGCGCGCCCATGCACAGAAACGCCAAAAAAACTCCTCGGCCGAGGCACAGGCCCATGCGAGGGACCCGGGCACGACTGCCTCGACCACGCTTCGAAATAGCACAAGAGAGGCTCCTGCTACAAGAGCTCGCGGGTCGGGGGCTCCCACTCCGCGGCGAGCGCGCCGACCCTCCAGAAGGGGGGGTGCCGGCGGCCGCCGAGGAGGGCGAGGCGCACCACACCACGACTTCTGACCTGGCCGGCCGCAGCGGGCCGCGCACAGCGGCTGCACGAGGCTTCGGGAGACCCTGCCCACTTCCTTCAGCGCCCATGATCAAGCAGTGGCGAAGCGTCCTTGCTCGCCTATAGGCCGACCCAAACATGTTCTAAGAACCTTTTTCTGGTTTCAACGAAATTTTCTGAGAACCTTTCTGGCTGGGAGTGTCTTGTTTTAACACATCGGGTATATGTTCTAAGAACATCGTTTTCGTTATTGGAACATTTTGGGTTCTAATAACATTCCGTGGTAGGCCTATAGGCTGCCGAGACAGTCAGTCCCTGCTCAACATGAGGCCCCTCCTGTCTCTCTTCTTTGGGGTCTCAGGTCTCCTGGCCCTGCCTTGTTCGTCCGTCGCCCCCCCCCGCTCTCCCCCGTGCCCCCGAGGTCGTCGAGGCCCTCGAGGTTTCCTCCTTTTCCTCGCGCTGAGGGCCCTCCGCTGTTCAGCAGCAAGTGCCAAACAAGGCCCGCCTACCACCACTCTGTACGCTGTGGCGACTTCAAGATCGACTTCACCATCGGGGCGGTGGTGAGAGGGCTGCAAACCCGCGCTGTAAGATCGCCTAGAGTTGGTCCGTGCCTGCCTTTCGTGGGCCCCGTGGCCCCCACCTCCCTCTTCATCTGGTTGCCCTTGAAGCTCCCAAGCGCCCTGGAGGCTCCTTTCTTTCTCCTTGTTCGGCGGGGGGTCCGCGGGTGTTTCTTGGCCGTTTCTGGAGCCCCCCCATGAGGCCCACCAGAGGATTTCGGACGTCTTCGAGGTCAGGGGAGGCTCCATGCACGGCGCCGCGCGGCGGGCGCGGCCGCGCCCGCGCGGCGCGTGTTTCGGCGGAGAGACCGCCCTTGCGCCCGCATTGCGCAGGAGGAGGAGGAAGAGGAGGAGGAGGAGGATGTGGACGAGGAGGAGGGAGGAGGAACAAGGTAGGAGAAAGGAGGGTTGACTTAAGAGGACTTTTTGATCCTCTGTCCTCCTCCTCCTCCTCCTCATCCCCGCCTCCTTCCTCACTTTGCCTCCTCCTCGTCCTCTTTTCCTTGTTTCTGTTTGTCCTCCTCCTCATGCCCCTCCCTGTATTCCTCCCTTCCTCTCTGTAGCCCCGCCTTCCTCCGTCTCCCGGTAAGTCCATCTGGACTTGGGTTGAGCTTCATCCTGTCCCTCGCCTTAGGTGCCCGTTCATGCGGTCGTTAATGCGATATTCTCTCGTCTCCATTCTCCCCCATCGTTCCTTTCTCTCTCCTGCCTTCTCCCTCCTCTCCACTTCCCCCCTCCCTCACCCCTCCTCCTTCCCTCCCTCTTTCCCTCCTTCCTTGGTCGAGCCCTCTTCGCCACGCTTCTGCGTCCGAAGGCCTTCTTGGTGTACTCCAGGATCCAAAAGCCAGATGACGAAGCCCGGGGAAAGCTGCTACCGCAGTCTTGATGCGGCGGAGGACCTTCGCCCCTGAGGGCGCGCGCGTGCGCTCGGACCCCGAACAATAGCCAGCGCGGCAGTCCTTATGTCGAAGTTGCCCCCCCCAAAGGGGCTCTTTTCGGCCCCCAGCTGGCGTTCAAAAGAGTCGACCTGCGGTGCGAGGCCAGTGCGACCAGACGGGGCCGAAAGCTCTCGAGATTCCCGCGCTGGAGCAATCAGGACGTCGGATGTCTGGGTCTGCGAGCCTGGATCCCCCCCTGCGGCGCAAAGATAATCGTGCCGCGGCTTTTCCAAGGTGGGCTCGCCAGGGCGCGAAGGTAACCGCGCGTTGCGCATCGTCGGGCGCGACGCGCGAGGCTAGGTGCCCTAGGCGAGCGCAGGTTTGCCCGGGGCCGTGTTTGCGGTTGCGCGCCAGCTGCCGCGAGCCAGCAGGTGTTTCGCTGTTCTTGTGCGCAGCCATGGGCGGGGTATCCAGCTGCCGGCGGCACGCTATCCGAAGGGGCTCGGGAGACCGTCACCTGTGACATTTGAGCCTCTCGAGGGCCTTTGGGGCCTGTTGGGTGCCTCTGGGGGGGCCTTTTGGGGGGCCTCTTGGCGGCCTCTTGGGGCCTCGTGGCAGCGTCTTGGGGGCGCCTCGGAGGCTCTTGAGGATTCCTACTAGGGCCGTCTGAGGGCGCTCTTGGGCCGTCTGGGCGCTTTCGGAGTCCGACTTGGGGGGCTATCTAGGTTGTCTTGGGGCCCTCTTGTGGACCTTGAGGTTGACGACCATCTGAGGGCCCCTCTGGGCCGACTTGGGGTCCTCTTGGACCCCTCTTGGGCCATCTTTGAACTCTTGGGCCGTCTTGCGGCCTTCTTGAGGCCCTCGTGGGCCGTCTCCAGGCCATCTTGTAGGCATCCTTGGCCGCCTTGAGCGACGAAAGCAAGCCCAAAACGTTGAGGATGTGACAATCCATCAATTATCCCGGCAAAGCATTAACAGCGATGTGTAGGAGCATATCTGGAAGCATTCCCCTTAATATTCAGATGAGAATCCAGTTGTAGAATTCTGTTGTTCTCGCAGTCGCAGTCGCATTCGCGATGACAGTCGCAGTGGCAACGGCAGCCTCAGCCTCAGCCTCAGCCTCAGCCTGCCTCAGCCTCAGCCTGCCTCAGCCTCAGCCTCAGCCTGCCTCAGCCTCAGCCTCAGCCTGCTTCAGCCTAAGCCTCAGTCTGCCTTCAGCCTCGGCCTCAGCCTCAGCCTGCCTCAGCCTCAGCCTGCATCAGCCTCAGCCTCAGCCTCAGCCTGCCTCAGCATCAGCCTGCCTTCAGCCTCAGCCTCAGCTCAGCCTCAGCCTCAGCCTCAGCCTGCTTCAGCCTCAGCCTCAGTCTGCCTTCAGCCTCGGCCTCAGCCTCAGCCTGCCTCAGCCTCAGCCTGCCTCATCATTCAAAATGTTGCCCGGGAATGGAGTTCTGGGAACTCGAAGAACACGAAGTGGCCTGCAGTTGGCTCCGGGCATTCAAAATCATGCCCAGGAATGGAGTTCTGGGAACTCGAAGACCACGAAGTGGCCTACAGTTGGCTCCGGGCATTCAAAATCATGCCCAGGAATGGACTCTGGGAACTCGAAGACCACGAAGTGGCCTAGAGTTGGCTCCGGGCATTCCATGGGCACTTCACGAAGTGGCCTACAGTTGGCTCCCAAAATGTGGCCCGGGAATGGAGTTTTGGGAACTCGAAGAGCACGAAGTGGCCTACAGTTGGCTCTGGGCATTCAAAATGTGGCCCGGGAATGGAGTTCTGGGAACTCGAAGACCACGAAGTGGCCTACAGTTGGCTCCAGGCATTGAAAATGTAGCCCGGGAATGGAGTTCTGGGCTCGAAGACCACGAAGTGTGTAACTGTTTGCTTAAAACGACTTCCGCGGCTTCTCCCCGGCACCCGCTCAGACCCCCTGTCGGAGTCAAGTTGCTGTCTTTTGACACTACTAGAAACCTATCAGTCCTCGCTGTTAGGTAAACACCAAATTATCCCGGCAAAGCAACCTAACAGCGATGTGTTTGAGCATATCTGGAAGCATTCCCCTTAAGATTCAGATGAGAATCCAGTTGTAGAATTCTGCTGTTCTCGCAGTCGTAGTAGCCTTCGCGATGACAGTCGCAGTGGCAACGGCAGTCGCAGTCACAGCCTCAGCCTCAGCCTGCCTCAGCCTCAGCCTCGGCCTCAGCCTCAGCCTCAGCCTGCCTCAGCCTCAGCCTCAGCCTGCTTCAGCCTCAGCCTCAGTCTGCCTTCAGCCTCGGCCTCAGCCTCAGCCTGCCTCAGCCTCAGCCTGCATCAGCCTCAGCCTCAGCCTCAGCCTGCCTCAGCATCAGCCTCAGCCTCAGCCTCAGCCTGCCTCTGCCTCAGCCTCAGCCTGCTTCAGCCTCAGCCTCAGTCTGCCGTCAGCCTCGGCCTCAGCCTCAGCCTGCCTCAGCCTCAGCCTGCCTCAGCCTCAGCCTCAGCCTGCCTCAGCCTTCAGCCTCAGCCTCAGACTGCCTCAGCCTCAGCCTCAGCCTGCTTCAGCCTCAGCCTCAGTCTGCCTTCAGCCTCGGCCTCAGCCTCAGCCTGCCTCAGCCTCAGCCTGCCTCAGCCTCAGCCTCAGCCTCAGCCTGCCTCAGCCTCAGTGCCTCAGCCTCAGCCTCAGCCTCAGCCTCAGCCTCAGCCTTCAGCCTCAGCCTCAGCCTCAGCCTCAGCCTCAGCCTCAGCCTGCATCAGCCTGAGCCTCAGCCTCAGCCTGCCTCAGCATCAGCCTGCCTCAGCCTCAGCCTCAGCCTGCCTCAGCCTCAGCCTCAGCCTGCTTCAGCCTCAGCCTCAGTCTGCCTTCAGCCTCGGCCTCAGCCTCAGCCTGCCTCAGCCTCAGCCTGCATCAGCCTCAGCCTCAGCCTCAGCCTGCCTCAGCATCAGCCTGCCTCAGCCTCAGCCTCAGCCTGCCTCAGCCTCAGCCTCAGCCTGCTTCAGCCTCAGCCTCAGTCTGCCTTCAGCCTCGGCCTCAGCCTCAGCCTGCCTCAGCCTCAGCCTGCATCAGCCTCAGCCTCAGCCTCAGCCTGCCTCAGCATCAGCCTGCCTCAGCATCAGCCTCAGCCTGCCTCAGCCTCAGCCTCAGCCTCAGCCTGCTTCAGCCTCAGCATCAGTTTGCCTTCAGCCTCGGCCTCTGCCTCCACCTGCCTCAGCCTCAGCTTGCATGAGCCTCAGCCTCAGCCTCAGCCTGCCTCAGCATCAGCCTGCCTCATTCGCAGCCTCAACCGGTTTAGCCTCAGCCTGCTTCAGCCTCAGCCTCAGTCTGCCTTCCTCGGCTTAAGCCTCAGGGTTTCAGCCTCAGCCTCAGCCTGCTCAGCCTCAGCCTCAGCCTCAGTCTGCCTTCAGCCTCGGCCTCAGCCTCAGCCTGCCTCAGCCTCAGCCCATCAGCCTCAGCCTCAGCCTCAGCCTTCAGCCTGCCTCAGCCTCATCAGCCTCAGCCTCAGCCTCAGCCTCAGCCTGCCTCAGCCTCAGCCTCAGCCTGCTTCAGCCTCAGCCTCAGTCTGCCTTCAGCCTCAGCCTCAGCCTCAGCCTGCCTCAGCCTCAGCCTGCAGCCTCAGCCTCAGCCTCAGCCTCAGCCTGCCTCAGCATCAGCCTGCCTCAGCCTCAGCCTCAGCCTGCCTCAGCTCAGCCCTCAGCCTCAGCCTCAGCCTCAGCCTCAGCCTTCAGCCTCGCCTCAGCCTCAGCCTGCTTCAGCCTCAGCCTCAGCCTCAGCCTGCCTCAGCATCAGCCTCAGCCTCAGCTGCTCAGCCTCAGCCTGCTTCAGCCTCAGCCTCAGTCTGCTCAGCCTCAGCCTCAGCCTGCCTCAGCCTCAGCATCAGCCTGCCTCAGCATTCAACATGTTGCCCAGGAATGGAGTTCTGGGAACTCGAAGAACACGAAGTGGCCTACAGTTGGCTCCGGGCATTCAAAATCATGCCCAGGAATGGAGTTCTGGGAACTCGAAGACCACGAAGTGGCCTACAGTTGGCTCCGGGCATTCAACATGTTGCCCAGGAATGGAGTTCTGGGAACTCGAAGAGCACGAAATGGCCTACAGTTGGCTCCGGGCATTCAAAATGTGCCCCGGGAATGGAGTTCTGGGAACTCGAAGACCACGAAGTGGCCTACAGTTGGCTCCGGGCATTCAAAATGTGGCCCAGGATTGGAGTTATGGGACCTCGAAGACCACGAAGTGTGTAACTGTTTGTTTAAATCGACTTCCGCGGCTTCTCCCCGGATCCTGCCCGGACCCCCCTGGGGCGTCAAGGGAAACCTATCAGTCTTCGCTGTTAGGTAACAGGACAATCAATGATATTGACCTCTCCGAGCGCTCTTGGAGGTTCTCTTGGAGCCGTCAGGGGCCGTCTTGAGGGCTTCTTGGGCAGTACCGAGGCCATCTTGCGCCTTCTTGGGGTCGTCTTGGGCAGTCATGGAGGCGTCTTGGACCATCTTGGCGGCCTTGGTAGCTTGCCTGGGCCGTATTAAGAGCTATCTTCGGACATCTTCGACGCCTGGGGGAGCGCCAGGGAGCCGTCTGGCAGCTCAGGAAGCCTCCGGAGGTGGGGGCTGTGCACGCAGCGGTCCGCGTCTAGAGGTGTGGTGACCCCCTAGAAACTTACAGACACCCCGAGGAAACGGTGCAGGAGGGGGTCGGATTGATATAGGCTCGTGCCTCCGCGCGGCTGCGTGCGCGGACCAGCTTTTGGGCCTGCCCAGCTCGAAGCTCGAGCCGAAACTGCTACGGTGCTGACGCTTGCGCGGATGTCCACTTTGGACGTACCAGCCTATCCGCGGTTTCACGGCGAAACCAAGCAGCAACAGCACACAAGTTACCTACCCCGACCGCTGCCAGGCAGGCTTTGAAATTCTACCACGCCTCGACGTGCCAGGGGGAAAGGTGGCGTATCTCTTGATGGCTCCCCCATTCGGCCACGCGCACAGGGGGGTAGGGGTAGGGGAAGGCTTCTTAGAAGTCTTAGAAGCACCCTGCTTCATA